GGGGGGTCTGGGTTGGTGGTCCCTGAAAAAGCAGAAAATGTACCTTCAAATCAGTTATATCTGGCTTCGTGACCCCCCCACCCCCAACCTCTCTCCCTAATCAACAACCCCCGGAGGGCCCCCCACTCTAGCGCTTCGCCAATGTCTGCAACTTTTAAGAGCTATCGCAACCACACGGATGTAAACTTTCAGGTGGGGGCGGAGGGAATGGGTGGCACCGAGTCAAGTATGAAGTCGCTGACACAGCGAGGCGACGAAGAAGAGGTATCATGACACCAGAGTTATTCCAACATGGATTTCAGCTCTCGCACATTTTTTTTAAAAAAAAACAAAAAAAAAAACTCTTGGTTGGAGATTAAGAGCAAAACATTTGATGGATGGCGAGAACTCGCTTTCTGACAACGGCTTTTTCCACCCAGACAGAGAAAGCAAATGAACCCCAACTGCAGCTGCCACCAAAGTGACGTTGCCTCACTGCGCTCAGGCTGAGCGCAGGCCCACAAAACAAATAAGTGCGCAACCTTTGTTGCAATTAAAATCTCCAAATATTAAATAAAGCTCTGAATTTGCACGATGGAAAAAAAGTTGCTTGTACCAAAAAAAAAAAGGAAAAAGAAAATACTTCCTTGTTAGCTTGTACATGTCATTGACCTCATCGCCCTCTTGCTGCTCCGCTGACCCCGGCGTCAGCAGCGTATGCGGTTGCCCGTGGCAACCGCGACATCCCATCCATACAACCCCGACTCATTGTGTTAAATGCGCTCTTTGGCTATGACTATGAATGAGAACTCGGCTGTCGAGGCAGCTCGTGCGGTTGGCAACGTGCGCTGACAATAATGAGGTGATTGAGCTCCTGTCATAAAAATCGTGGGAGGCGCTCAGCGGCACACAAACGCGCCACAACAGTTGTCCTGTCGTCATTTTATTTGATGACTTGGGCGTGTGGCGGCTGACTGGTTAATTCTGGCGATGATGCGGCGCAGTTGTACATCACAGCGCCGGGGCAGCCACAGTAATACCTGCGCCTTACTATCTTTGGAAGGCAGAATTTTTGATCAAGAGAGGCTGGGAACTCCACTTCCGTTCCGAGTGACTCAGAGAGTGGAAACCCACATTCCGCTCAACATCTTTGCCAACGTGACCTGACAAGTACAACCCAAAAAAAAAAAAAAAAGAGGGGTAGGGAGTGGGGAGGGGGGACATCCGTCTTAGCGAGAGGCTCTTACATCACTGTGTCGTGTGGCCTTGAGACAAAGTGGGCGGCCGACGTCACGGCAGACGTTATTGCGCAGCCACCTTCTCCGTCGTCACATGGAGCGCTGTGTGAGCCGCACTGACACGGCTTCAGCTCCCAGGCATGAATCTTACAGAGGAATGCACTCACAAAAATCATGGCTGGGACACATTTTAACTTAGATGGACGACTACTTCCTCCCCCAACCCTAAGAGCAGGAAATGGTGTGCTTGAGGCATGAATGGGATGCGCGCTATCCACTCACCATGGCTAGATGGATCGATGGACAGATGCATACAATTCTCAAAAAACAAAAAAAATAAACAAACTGCTGTGCATTGAGATACGAGTGACCCGCCAGACATGTTTTTTGAGATACAAGCTGTTATCCGGCTGACTTGCGAGCACAAACTTGATAGGAGTGCTGAATGGTGGCAGTGAACTGAACTCATCTCGATTCGCAATAAGCTGCAGTTTGTCAAAGAATGAGCAATGAATCAAACAAGAGGCTTCAAGTTGTTTCGTGCCACTTCCAGATGACGTTTACTGTCAAACTAAACATAAAACAAATTGAAGTACACTTTTGTGTATTTAAAACAACTGAATAGCCTCAATGAAGGCCCGCTTTAGCTTCATGCTAACATGCAATGGATGTGGCTGGTGACATTCTACCCATCAACCGCGATAGTTTAAAAACCTTCCAGCAACGGATATTTGAACACAAACGGTGAAGCAACTCGTAGACAAATTAGAGCAATACTCACAGGCATAGATTCTTTATCACTTGTGAGAAATATGACAGCATCTTACTGAGTCACGATAAGTAGTTGCGAAACTTTTCTTCCGTTCTGTCTGCATGACTGTATTTCCTGCCCTTCGGTGTCCAAGGCAGACACATCAGAAGGAGCAGCACAAGTAATTGAATTGCAGCATTAAATCATGAATGGCATTTCCATTTTCGATTTGAGTACAAACATGGTCACATAATGAATTTCTAGAGCACATGTCCACATAAGGGTTCAGCGCCACCAACTTGCGCATTCGGCAAAAGAAAACCAAGCACTTCCTTCTGATGTCGTCACTGGCAGGAGACCCGAACAAAGCACCCGCGGAGTCTTTGCTTTGCACAAGAATTACCAAAGATGACCCTATCCCACGTTTCATTGGATTTGGGTCAACCCACAATACAAGCCAAACAATTGGCTTTGTACACCACACCATCTTTAAAATCGAAATTATTGACATTTATGGTAACAAACAGTAATTAGCACAAGTAAGCAAGCAAAAAGATGTGCTAAGATGTTTTTTTTATTTATACTGTGTATTTAAGTTGGGAGACAAAAAGGGACAACAGTTGTCTATTTTGTTGAATTGCCCAACTTAAAATGTTACAAAAATGTGTTGCCTCAAAATTTGTGAGCTCCATTTTTTTTTTTTTTACAGGGCATCTGTCGCTAGACCACAACAAGCTGCTCATCTTAGCTGATGGAATTAGACAGAAAATGCTTTCCTCTCCTCTCACATCATATTGGTGCAAGCTAACAATACCTTTATCAAATCACAACTGCGCCATGTCATCAGCCCCCCCCCCCCGCTGCTCACCGGAAGTCCATTTGTTTTCCAGTTGGTTCATGTGATGTTCTGCTTAAGGCCCATTTGGGTCAGATAGGTGTGACCTGATCTCACCGCGCCCCCGCCCACCCCACACACTCATCACCTGCCAATCACAAGGCACATCTACACAAACAACCACTGAAATTCACTTTCACATCAAAGTACAATTGAGTCTTCAATGAACATAACGTTCATGTTTTAAGACATTTTTTTTTAATCCCACGCAAAAAAGGCAGATTCGAACATCAGAACTGTGAGCCAGACGTGCCAACCACTCCCACCCCAACAGGAAACTTGCATAATCCAAATAAACAACACGTTTATGGCTTTAATGTGCAAGCCATGACTTGGCCTGTGTGTGCGCATGCAGCGAGCGGAGCCCACTTTTAACTTTTGTGTGGAGGGGAAACACCAAAAACCACACATCTATTTTAGCAGCAGGTTTGGGGTCTCCGCGCAGCAGAGGAAGCGGGCAGGACGCGAGAAAACAAGCGAAAGAGCGAAAAAATGGTTTGGTAATTACTTTTCAAGTCCGGATCCTGCAGGGATGATTGGTGTTTAATTAAAAGCCGCGCGGCGTTTAGGGTGTCAATCAAGTGATGAATGGACTCGCTGGGACGGTGAGGTCATAAGATAACACCGATCGACGTGTCTCGCCAATTTTCGGCGTTTGTTCCTGAACATCTCTGCCACTCTGTGGCCAAAATGAAGCCGGCATGCAGAAAGAAGTTGTCCAAAAAAACGGTTCACTCGACTTTCACGGAACGTGTTCAGTGGAGGTGTCACACGAACTTGACTTCGTGAATGCCCTCCGTGAAGCGGCCGGTTAATTGGCGGCGACTTACAGGTAGCTGCCGCTGGTGAGGATGAGGAAGATCTGCGGGTAGTAGACTGACAGCAGAACACTGCGCGACGAGAACAGGATCATGATGACATCGAGGAGCCAAAGCGGCTCAGGCGCCTCACACGGGGGATGAGCAAGATGGGGAAGCGCACTTTCGAAATCAAATCACAATAATCATTCAAAAAGAAAACGACGACAACAACAACAACAAAACTCCTTTGCTTTTAATTCCCAGTTATCTCTTTAAAAAAATAATCATAAATTTAAAAAAAAAAAAAATCCAGCTCCCAAGTCACGCCGCTCCGAGCTGCCGTGGCCGAGTGAGCGGGACCGGGGCCGGGGTGAGCTCTGACATGTCTCCGCGGCGGCTGCGGTAGTGGTGGGTGATGCGTTCAGGGACCTCGCATGGCAGAAAAGTGCCTGTGCGCGCTCGACTCCGCACTCGCGGCTGCCATTGGGCGGCCGGAGACGACTGCAGTCCGCCCACTTTGCCACGGTGGGACAATAGGAAGAGGTTGGTGGTGTGTGTGTGTGTGTGTGAGCGGGGGGCGGGGGGGGGGGGGACACTGATCCGAGGTTTCATTCATCATCAACCTACCGCACTCCTCTCTCTCCACCCCCCCACCCCCCCAAAATCCCTCCCAAACATCAACAAACACCGTCATCGCAGCCCCTCGCGCGCAAAAAGAGGAGGGGTCAAATCAGCACATTTTTTGGGGGCGCGATGAGTCAGTGTGCATCCACAAGTTGGTGTTATGTGCAAGCTTTGGGATGGAATATGACAACTATTCCCAACCGACACTGTCTAGGGAGCTAAAATAGCACAAAGTTGCATTATCCTGCTCAAAATCCCTCCTTTAAAAGAGCCTTTATTGAAGTGATGGGCAAAGTATGGCCCGTGGGCTACACATGGCCCACTCTGCTCTTTCATCGGACCCACAGAGCATTTACATTATCAAGTGTTGTGTAGTATTTGTTGTTAATCTGGCTGTTTTTCATGATGATGGTTGATAAAAAATGTCATTCTAAATTTTGATTTGTTTATTTGTAAATAATCTATTGAAAAAAATATACAATTCACATGTGTATTTAATATTTGGTTCAGTATTAAATTAATTGAATGAGCATTACTTAATTTAAAATAAGCTTTTCCCCCCCAATATTTTACATACTGAGTATATAACTTTTTTTTTACCTTATTTACAAATGACCCAGCACATCCATCCAATGTAAAAATTAAATACGGCCCTTCAGTATAAAAATGTGTGTACATTATGCTTGAGTAGAGTGATTCTCAAGCTTTTCAAACCAATTACAACTAAAGTACAGTTGCATAGTAGGCCCAGGTGTTCATCAATTCCAACGTGTTGCCATGAAGGTGAAATAAAAGAATCTACCCAACTCAATGTTTGAAAATAGCTCGATCAGAAGAAATCCTGTGTATCTTACTTTAAAGTTAAATACAACAGAACTGCACTTGACAAATGAACCGGACTCGATAGCAAACAACAACTTTTCAACCGCATTAACAGACAAATCTTTTTTGCATTGTTGACACATTTAATTCAGACATTCCTCGCATACCACAAGTCCGCCTATACCAGTCTTGGAGAATCACTGCTTTATGGAGTAGAATAATAGGTGATGCTAGAACATGAATGCTGTCAGGATGCAGTCCTGTCAAGATGTTTAAAGAGCTGGGGCAGGGAAATGAAATAGCTGGACAGATTTTAGCCTCTGTGTGTGTGTGTGTGTGTGTGTGTGTGTGTGTGTGTGTGTGTGTGTGTTGCTATGGGCCTGTCAGTCAACACCTGCAGGCTCCAGTCGTTGTAAATGAAGTGGGTACAATGAAAGATTTAGAGAAAGTAAAGAGATGGGAGGAATGAGCTAAATGGTCGGGCTTGGTAAACATAGTAAGAGTACCCCCCCCCTACACACACACACACACACACACGCACACACACACCACGTATTGGAAGTACAATGTCATGTGATATGAGCATCTGTGGAGCTTGAAGTGTGTTTCACGCACACACACACACACACACACACACACACACACACACACACACCACGTATTGGAAATACAATGTCATGTGATATGAGCATCTGTGGAGCTTGAAGTGTGTTTCACGCTCCACTCCACATGAGCTTCTTCTCCTCCTCCCTACTTATGTATTTATCCTTCTATCTGGCGAGACACTCACCAGCAGCCACAACATGAGGCACACCTGCACAAACAAACAATTGGAAGATGCCCGGCGGGACACGTTCCAAGCGTGCGCTTGCATCCAGCGAGCAATGTTGATATTTTGCAACGCAGAGGAAAATAGCGGCGTGCGGCAGGTGGATTTGTGCTCACGCTTCGTTCCAAGAGACGGCGAATAGGAGTCAAAGGTGGTTTGTAGGACGGCAACTAGTGTGTTTTACACAACTGAATTCTGTATCCAAAATGTATCGGTAAATGGGGGAGAGAGCCATAGATCTTATAGCTGTCAAATAGATTTGATTCATTTGTAGATTTGATGCCAGCAAGTGCACCATCGAACACACGAAAAACAAATTGGCTCAAAATGTTTTGTCAAAAACGGATTGATTCCCGACTACTTGGGTCAATACGACCCAATTTTCTGAATTGTTCAACAACCCCATTTTGAGGGTCAGTTTGTGCAAAAAATAATCAAATTTGGGGCTTTTTTTTTTTTTTTTTTTACAAAAATAATTTTGGGGGTTGTTTTGTGCAAAACAACCAAGAATCTAGCATTAAATTGACACACTTAGTAGATCAGTCCATTTTTTACCCTAAATTGGGTTCTTTTTGGTCCAACATTTGAGTTAATGAAACTTTTTTGAAGTGGCAAACCGAGTGCAAAATTATGAGATCTAAGATCGCATTGCATATTGGGTCAAAAGCAACACAAATTGTGTCAAAGCAGGACCAACCTAACTTTTTGGGTCAAATAAATAACATAACAAACCAACCCCCAAAAATTGGTGGCAGCAACCCAAACATGAGTTATTTTGTTGCAAAATTAATGAGAAATACATTGTTTGTTTGTTTTTGGACGAAACAACCACAAAAAATTTGTTGTGTAATTTTTTTCATTTGAAACAAAACATTTTTTTTTAAACACAGAAATGTTGTGTTGGTTCTGTTTTAACCCAATTTGAGTTTTCTTCTTTTTTCTTTTTCACCCATCTGTTTTAGAGTGTACAGCAATCACACATTTTTTTCCCCTACTTTCTTTTTTCAATTTTTTGACACACCAAGAAAAATCACATTTGGAGACAAGTGATTTTAATTTGAAAGGGAAAAAACGCCATGTAAATATTCTGTTTGTGAAGATTATTGCTCCATTTCGCGTTTAGCGTGTATTCTCCCCAAGTTGGTGCACCCTTGGGGAGAACACCTGCTTATTTTCGGCTTAAAATGGATCACTTTGAATCCTGTGTTTTTATGTTTTGAGAGTGTCATGCTCTATGACAATTAACCTCGGCGTGCCTTTTAACATTGGTGACTGGGTTTCTCAACGATGGGGGAACTCCTGCCCTTAAAGTGCAACAATCTACCCTGGTGATTGTAAATTGTTCATTGATTCTTTGCGCTGCTTGTGTGTGTCTTCTTGTGTGTTCTTCTAAAGTGAGCGGAGGCAGTGAGGGGAGGGATGAGGAGAGTTAAAGCTAAACAGGTAAAAACTCAGTCTGGGCCAATGGAATGTGGAAATACAACTCTAGCGTGGTGCTATTAAAGAAAAGAAAAAAGGGTATGCATGGCTGCAGACGGCAACTGGAATGGTTGGGAATGACAACGACGCACGACGTCAAAAGGAACCGACGTGCTTCATTCTGTTGATCGGAGCAGCTTCGTGTGTGCATAAAGCTTGGCCCAGTTTATTGAAATGTTTCCACGCCAAGTAAAACTCACCCGAGCCAGAGGTAGATGATGCCCAAGTACAGGAACACGGGGTACAGGGTCCAGGTTCGGAGGGGCTTGTGCATGGTCGTTGCCACTCCGTCCGTGGGCCATGCACTGTACGGACTGGATGCGTAAGCACGAAGCGACTTGCTCCCCCCGCCCCCCCTACTCCCGCGAACCCCACAATGAAGGCCTACGAACTAAGTCACGAACAAACTAACTAACCCTTCCACATGCACGCATGGCGACTCTATCCCGCGGCACCGAGCTCGTGTGGAACCGTCCCCTGGGTGCAGTCCATGGTGCGGTCCGCCGGTTCCAAAAAACAAACCAAAAAAAATAAAAATAAAGCAGCAGGTGAGATGAGCTGGTGGACGTCTCCTAAAGGAGATTGGATTTCTTGCTCCGTCCTGTCCCCCTTTTGCTCTAATTAAGTATTCCCTTGAGCACCTTTCTTGAAATTAACTCCATAGTGTCCTGACGCCAGACAGGTAAGGAAAGCCTTGGGGAGAGGTGCACGCCTTCTCGTCGTCCTCCTCCTCCTCCTCCTTCTCCTCCCTCCTCCTTCCACGCGTGGATATGCAGATAATAATGGGGCCGGGCTTTGGTTTCCACGCTCGCCTTGTTGCAACACAACAAAGTGATGATGCGAAATGATGCCTTTTATATATACACACAAAGAGAGAGAGAGAGAGGGGGCCCTTTTTGTCGCTTTGCGAAAGACCACTGCGCTGTTAGCGGCTTTTTTTTTTTTTTGCGCCACAACAGCACGTCCCACAAAACCTAAGCTCGCAAGTGGAATGTCTCTTCCACAAAGCAGCGGCGTGACTAATAAGAACAATAATGACTAATAACAACACGGCGAACGCAGAACTGGCGTCAGGGATGCGGGAGAAGTCATTCAGGATGTGTCAGTCACGCTGATTGGTGATAAATTGCGCGCAAAGCGACATAAATTACATTTAAGACGAGAAAAAAAAAAGAAGGAGAAAACGTTCCCATCACTGGGGCTTGATTGTGGTTGAATTCTGAGCAGATGTGCACGCCAAGTCTCGAGGCGTGTGTACGTCACAAGACTCCCCCTGCTGTCGAAGTGTGGGAAGTACTCTTCGAAGTGAAACCTCACCAAAGCAAGATGCGAACGCCACATGTTTGCTTGTGCATGTTTTGGATGGTTTTACACGCAGGAGCAGCCTGTGTCTTGTTGCGGACACCATGGGAAGTAGCGTCTCGCGATTGAGAGGTTCGAATGTGCGGTCGAGCTTCCTCCTTCCTATACTGTTAAAAAAAAAAAATACACAACTTGTATTTTGGGAGGAGGTGGGGTTAACGACTTTTAAATATAGTATTGACATCTATACACGAAACAAGCTCCAAAACAATTTACTGAGTTGTTTTTGCTTTACATTGGGGAGGGGGTGGGGGCTGGGGGTACGACAATAGTGCATTTTTCACATGAGCAAAATGTCTTTGAATTGCCCAACTTGAAATTTCAAGCCGATTTTGTCGCCTTGAAATTTTGAGTTGGCCTAACTTCCATCCATCCATCCATTTTCCGATCCGCCTTATCCTCAAAAGGGTCGCGGGGGATGCCGGAGCCTATCCCAGCTGTCTTCAGGCGGGGGACACCCTGAACCGGTTGCCAGCCAATCGCAGGGCACACAAAGATCAACAATCATCGGCGCTCACAATCACCCCAATGGACAATTTGGAGTGTTCAATCAGCCTGCCATGCATGTTTTTGGAATGTGGGAGGAAACCAGAGTACCCGGAGAAAACCCACGCAGGCCCGGGGAGAACATGCAAACTGCACACAGGAAGGCCGGAGCCGGGATTGACCCCATGACCTCTGCACTGTGAGGTCGACGCGCTAACCACCGGACCACCGGGCCGCTCCGAGTTGACTCAACTAATCACAAACTTTGCCTTCCCCTGATCTCAAGAGATTCGATGCAAGAGCTGGCTTTCACCCTTGTTGAGTCACGTCGCGAAACGAGGCCACCAACATCTCAGAAACAGCACTCGCTGTAATGCAAAGCAGTTCTGCGCTGCCGTAATTAACGTGGTCCGAAATGCCCCTCTGATGCTTTATGGCCCTCGCGTGACATGTCAATCGGACGGCACGTGTCCCTAATATTGTGGTTGACCTGTGTACAAACCGCTCTCCATGTGTCTTGAGGCACAATTTTGGTTAAGAATCTGCATTCTGGTGTCAGTAATATGATTCTCGGGTTTCCACACGCACCTCAAAAGTATCCGTTAAGAAAATAATAGTAATGTGAGGAATCTTTATTTTCCCTAGACCAGTAATAGTCTACCGCTCATCTGGCTTCTTTCCTCATCTGCCTGGCAAGGGAAAAAAAATGTTTTAAGCAAGACCACCCCCCCCACCCCCACCATCACCCTGCTCCAACCCTCTACCAAATTTTATTATGCTAGCATGGTCCTTTGAAGCCATGAGCGGCGCATGTTTCCAAGAAAGAAAATCTATGTGAAAAAAAAAGTGTGTGTCTGTGTGTCTGTGTGTGTGTGTGTTTGTGTGTGTGTGTGTGTGTGTGTGTGTGTGTGTGTGTGTGTGTGTGTGTGTGTGTGTGTGTGTGTGTGTGTGTGTGTGTGTGTTTAGCATTCTGTAATAATGACGGCGTAAACTACAGTTACAGACGCTAGCTATCTGTGCGCGGGACCATGAGAAACAGACACGACTGCAGGGGCCTTTTGTTTTAAGGCATCTCGCCGTTGCGGTTGTCGAGGCCTCTCCCTTCAAAACACGCCCCATCAAAATTCCAGACGGATTTTTTTTTTTTTTTTTGGAGACGCAATCAAAGTCAACGCGCAGGTCTGATGGCGACGTGTATTTGATGTCTGGCCTGTAAAACGGCGACCTTTTATTTGTCTTCGTGTGAGCCTTTCGGTTTGTTTAAAGTGCTTGAAAGCAGCGGTGCTCCACCCACCAAATGCACGTGAAGAATGTCTTGTCAATGTGACATGGTGCATACAAGCCTCATTAACAACCCCACCAATTTTGAGTGATTAAAACAAATCAGCGAGTATATAACACGCGGCTTCAAAATGGTGAAAAAGCCGATGTCTTCATTCTCCAACACTGTGGGCACCGAAACCAGGCACCGCTGTAAAAAAAAAATTGTGAGAGGTGCTAGCCACTAGCTCACTTGCGAGCTAACATGCTTCCTGGTTTCCTCTTGGTCAGCGGAGGGGCGGTGGGCTCTTTCGTGGTGTCAACCTCATGTTTGGGATTTTAAATAACAACCTCAAGGTGTTCCTGTAAATTGTCGCATCGAGGGGGGAAAAGCATTTTGGGGGAGTAGCTAGCTAGCTAACTGTACGTTGTCGTGGTGCCATTTTGGTACTTTAACGCGAAATCTTCACAAATGAGTACCACGCAGTTCTCGGTCTTGAAGTTACCTTCAAACATGTAAAATGTATTCCCAAACAAATATCTAAATTCACATAACATCATCTTAAAAGTTTGTCATTACGTGCAGAGCTAAGTATTTTTTAAGGTACATGCAGTACTAAATGTAAACATTTTGAGAGACACTCTTTTTAATGATGCTTTTTTGTTTTTCTTCTTCTTTAGCAAAAGCAAGATTGACAGGATTGGTACGCGTCAGCATTATGTCACTCACTAGCGGCATGGCCGTCTTACTGTCCTCACACGCGCACAATCATAAAGACTGTCATGTGCGCCTCGCCGGCCCACGAATGCGACGCGTGTGCACAAAGTCACAAATCAAAGTGAAGAGCGAACACACACAGCGACACACACACACACACACACACACACACACACACACACACACACACTGCAGCACTTGGGTGGTACGCGGAGGATCCTGTGACATGGTGTTTATTTAATTTAAAAAAGCTGTGGCAGGGATGACAACATCTGGGTCAGGAAGGACATATCGGTCCAAGCGTGTCAGACGCCACATCGCCGCTCGTGTCTCAGCCCGCCACTACCGCGGGGCGTTTGTGCCCGGAATATCTCGAAGGAGGTCACCCCCCGCCCCCCAGCCCCCCGCAAACTTTAGGTAGCCTGCAGTGGTTTATACCTGAAAAAAATTCCATTGACAAAGCAACTGTTAAATATATAAATTCGAGCATTTTCCACCTAATATCGTTGCGTCAGCCGCTTGCCCGGAGCCAGTTGGAATCGGCTTCAGCTCTCTGCAACCCTCAATAGGATAAGGCGTATGGAAAATGGACGGATGGATGTAGTTGCATCAGATTCTGTATAGCTTGGAACGATAAATCGGATCTGGCTCGTGTTTCCACCGTGGAGCGTGCAGGCGACATGGCAACGGTTGAGCGTTGTCGTCGAAAACTGCTGATTGTGGGTAAACCAGCCAACAGACTGACATGGCTTAATTAACGTTAGAAGAGTGTTTCCCCACCTTCATTGAGCAATTAGGCAAAATCTCCTTGACAAACCACCACACAAAAATAGAGGAGAAGCGGCAGTAAAACAGGCCAAAAATCCAGACGTAAGGCAGGCCAAAAGAGTGGTTGCATATCATTTGTGGTTTTACCAAATGTGAGCGTGACGAAAGTTTTATGTCAAAATGTAAACAGGGAGCCGTTGTAATTCCCGTGACGATGGCACTCCAGAGTAACGGGAGCCCGAAAAGTGAATGTTCTCGAACCAACCTTTTTTAGCATCTATGCACGCAAATATGTGCATAGATGCTAAAAGGTATGATTTTTATTTTCGTGTAGTTATAGTTAGCTTTCGGATTTAGTTTTGGATGATGATAAATCACAAATCACTTGACATTGCTGACATGGAAGCAATGCCGCTTCCAAACCATTCACCCTGTTTTCAAATGGTCTCCCACCAGCCTTTTTTCTTCATTGAACAACCAATCTCCACGCACCATCGCGTATCTGTTCCTTTTACATTTCAGCACGCATTCCTCCCAAAGTGAGGAAAAGGAGGAGGCGGGGACAATCACGCTGGGGATCATCTCGTATTTTGGCTCGCTCCAGCCGATGGTGTGTCGCGCTGTCGTTTGAAATGTTATGAAGCACTCTTGACCGACCGGCAAACGAAGCCGTTTGCCGGCGTGTTTGCATGGGAGCCGCTTCAGCTGGAAACAGTGCGATGGCTGAAACGCGCCGCTTGCCAAAACCATGGAGTGGCGTCTGGGGCTGGGTCCACCAAATCCACAAAGGGCCCCAGGCAGAGGGGGTGGGGGAGAAGCGGGGATAGTACTGTATGTACTCCCAACACCCTCTCGTCTTTCTCCCCCCCCCCATCCCCTCCATTCCATCCATCCCTGCGCCTGCATTCCCCTCATCTTCCCTCACGCAACCGCACAAAGTTCAATGCAGCCGTGGAGGGGAAAGTCAACTCTGACCTGGATGCCACATGACCTTTCCTATAACTAACAGTGAGGTCAGAGGTTAACCCAACTCTGCTGGTCCTCCCGTGCTGACTAATGGGTTTGACTTTTTCCTTGCTCCTCTTCACTCATGACTATTGGGGGGGGGGGGCAAGGAGGAAAGAGGGAGGAGATTCATCACTCACCGATACATCAGGCCCCATCGGCCGGAGGGGGTGACAGTTGTCCTCAACCAGTTTGATCTTGGGCCTTGCTTTGTGTTTGAATATGTGGCAAAATCAATC